AAATATATGTTTATCAAATAAAGTCTAATGTTACAACTAATCGGGGATCCCTTTAATACTTAAGTACAAAAAATATCAGATACTTTAAGACTTTTAGTAATATTCCTAAAGGAGACTAACTTTTACCAAAATAATTCTTTGGTAAGATACTTGTACTTTTACTCAAGTACCACCTTGTGGTACTTTATACAACACTGATAAATGGTTCGTCTTTTATATTAGTCTACTTATAAAATGACAATAGGTGTACGTAGGTGTATGTTGGGAAACTGATTTTAACTGTGCTCCTGAACGCAACATAACTCAGACTCCTGCAGCTGCAAAGCTATGATGTGAGAGAGAAGCCTTTTGAGTGTTGGGCTTAAAAAAAAAAATAAAAAAAATATAAAGTAAAATTAAGCTTTTTAGACAAACACAACTCCATTCGTCACCTGTGTCTTACAGCTGCAACATATAACGCTGAGAATGAATCCATGCCTAACTGCAAGTGAGTGAAGTGTGTCATTCATTCCTATATTAGTAAAAAAAWTATTAATTAATTCAGACTTGTCAATGCAAACAATCAACAGTCTCCACATAGAAATGACTGCAAGACATAATTATCTCATGGCCAAGAGATAACTTTTTTTTATCCAATGTCACTGATGGGCACCAAAGCTCGAGCCTGAAGCACATCTTTCTTTTTAAAAAACATCATGGTTTTTTTTTTGCCAAAATTACACAGTAATATAAAACTGGTTGTGGTGTTTGTTGAATAGTGTTTATTAGGGTTGGGCATAATCGTATTGTGTGCAATTAATCATCAGGAGAACATGAATCGATTATTTTTTGGCACTTGATTAATATGATTAATGCCACCAGGGGAGATCTCTGCAGTCAGTCTGCTCGGTTCTCCAATCTGCTTCAAATATGACAAACATTAAAAACAAGTTCTGTAATTTATTTACATATCAACACAATTTAAAACTGATGTACAGCCTGAAGTCTGTAATTTTCACACAATTTGGAACAGATTTTTATGAAGAGCAAAACTTTCCCACTGAATTGGTCATGTGACTACTACATAAGGGTGTACAGGGACTCCAGGGCATAAATCGTCAAATTAATCGTTATCGACTAAATACCTCAATTAATCGTGATTAATTTTTTTTGCCAATATTGCCCAACCCTAGTGTTTATATGTAAAGACAGGAGTTGTTTTCAGATGGCAGCAGCTCACCATTTCAGGCTAACAACTACTGTAGATCCCAACTCAGGTGGTTCAAAGTGCTGTTTACTGCAGGTAACAGATGTTCACAACTTTTGGACAATAGCYTACTTCACATCAAATTTGCTCAAAAATCCCTTAAAGCAGTGTTTCCCAAAGTTGGGGTCGGGACCCAAAGTGGGGTCCCGAAACATCAAGATGGGGTCCTGAACAGATTTTCTGAATTAATTACATTTTTGTCTTAGTTGTTACAAAGGAGTGAGGTTAGTGTATTTAAAATGGATAAATGTAGTTTAAAAAATTGTTACTATGCCCATGTTTTGTTGACCAAATGTTTATCATCCAAAAATATCTGGGGGCACAGGTCTCTGCTGCTGTTATTT